GGATGGACTTGTTGAAAGATTTCGACTGTAGAATTAAGTATCACCCCAGACGGGGAAATGTGGTGGTAGATCCCTCAGTCGTAAGAGTACTGGAGTGCTATCTCATTTGATGGTATTTGAGTGGTGTTTACGGGAAGCCATGCAACAACTATGTATTCAGGAAGGGGACAATGGAAGATATGTGGCTAGTTTGAGGGCACAACCTACCTTGGTTCAGAAAATCAGATAAGGGCAGTTGGTGGACACCGAGGTGCAGAGGATTCGGAAGGGGGTAGAACAGGGGACAGTGAGAGGATTTGGGGTGAAAGATGATGGGATACTCAGATTTCAAACCAGAATGTGCTTTCCTAATGAGCGTACGATACGAGAAGAAATACTCAGTGAGGCACATAATACTAAATTTTTCATGCACCCAGGGAGTACTAAGATGTACAAAAACTTATAGAAAAGTTTCTGGTGGAGGGGCATGAAGAGGGATGTGGCCGAGTATGTGTCAAGGTGTTTGATATGCCAGCAAGTGAAAACGCAACATCAGAGGCATGGGGGGTTGTTACAGCCCTTACCCATACCCGAGTGGAAGTGGGAACATGTCTCCATAGATTTTGTGACCGGGTTGCCAGGTAACCATAAGAAACATGATAGTATTTGGGTGGTAGTTGATCGTCTAACTAAATTTTCTCATTTCTTAGCAGTGAAGGTAACTGATTTAGTTGAGCATTTGGACAAATTGTATGTCAAGGAGGTAGTAAGGTTACACGACATTCTCGTATCGATTATTTTCGATCGAGATTCCCGATTCACTCCAGATTTTGGAGAGGGTTGCAATAGGCTTTGGGTACTAAATTAAGTTTTAGCATAACTTTTCACCCACAAACGGATGGGCAAACTGAGAGGACGATACAGGTATTGGAGGATATGTTGAGAGCCTGTGTCATCGACGTGGGGGGAGATTGGGAGGATATACTACCCTTAATAGAATTTACATACAGTAATAGTTATCACACCAGCATCAGAATGACTCCTTATGAAACTCTATATGGTAGGCCCTCTAGGCCACCGGTGTGTTGGAGCGAAGTGGGAGAAAGACAGTTATTGGGACCAGAAATAGTAGAGGAAACTACGGCCAAGGTGCTAGTGATACGACATAATTTATAAGTTACCCAAAGTAGACAGAAGGGGTACGCAGACAATCGCATGAGAGATTTGAGCTTTGAAGTAGGGATCATGTGTTCCTGAAAGTATCTTCCATGAAGGGTTTATTGAGGTTTGGGAAGAAAGGGA